CCGAACTCTTCCTTGAAGCGGCTGAAGAACCTGAAGTCCAAGTGACGAACGAGGTCAAAGCGGCTCGGCTCTGCGGCCAGAAACGCGCGTGCAAACTGGTTGTCGGTGTATGAGCAAATCATCATCTGTGCATTCTCGATGACGGTGGCGACCGTCTCGTCGAAGGTTCGTCGTGATGTATAGCAAAACTTGGGAAAAAACACGGGTCGAGCGGGGCTATTGCCCCTCCTGACTGCCTTGCGCACTTCTATCGCATTCGTAACGACATCGAGGGTAAGTTTCCAGATCTCGAGGCGGAGTTCAGTAGGCAACTCAAGGAATCGGTGAAACGTCGGCTTGATGGGAGGGGTTTCGTAGGCGTCTACGACTGCATCGCTCACTGGAGTCCACGGCTCGCCTTTGATGTATCTGGGCACTACATTTTGTAAGCATAGCTCGTGGTTCCTTGCATCCTACAACGACCTACTCTTCTTCGACCAGGGTAGCACGCCATGCTTCATTACCTCAGCCCAAGTCTGAAGATTTGAATGCGAAGTACTGGAAGATGGGGTTGCAGTTATGGTTGAGCCCTGAAGATCGGGAAAGGTCATCGTGTCTAGTTGGAAAGTCGCTGCATCGTACGCGACGTTCATGCCAAATCGACTGCTGGCTACTGAGAAGGGAATGAGGACGACGGGCATGTTTGCGGTTTCCTGTACTGTCAGGAAAGGTCTTTGTATCAGAGGTTTGACTTACAGTGCAAAGAGAAATGAATGTAAGAGCCGCAATGGGTAGAAATCGTGAGACCAGGTCTATCGGTGTCTGTTCGTATACGCGAAATGAAGGCTCTACGTGTACGGGAGGTAGTGAGTGGTAGATGAAGCAGGGGATTAAGACTCCTTCCTCGCCCTTGTAGGAAAGTGTGCCCAGAATAATTTGCGATATTCCTCTTGGGAAAGCGGCTTTGTACGTTCGAATTGTATGAAATGCGGCAGGTGTGGTTGGCTCGCCGTCTGTGGGCCATCAGTACCACGGAATGGAGGTGATGGAACCAATCTGCATCTCAGCTTTTCACATATTCGCATCTTGATGTGACCTCTCCTTTTGCGCCTACGCAAGCAGGCAATTCAGAATTTATGGGCGTGCTCTTGCACCGCCTTTCCATCTTCGATGACACAGATGTCGACGCCAGCAGTCACACGCAAGCTCTCCATATCGAACAAGTACTCTTCATCCTTCTTTACTACCTCCAAGTAAAAAGGATCTTCGTAAGCCTTCTCGAAATCTTCGTACTTCCGCACCCAGAAGTCCGCCATGCCGTCGTACGAAAGAGTAGGCATGCTTAGGCGTGCTTTGTGTCTTGATGTAGTGTGATACTTCGAATAATCAGTACTTGTAGATGAATTGCGCAGCATCAAGATAATAAGGGGCTGCACAAGTAGGGAGAGCTGATGGGGAAGCTCACTTGGACGTATTTGACGATACCGTGACGCTGCAGCCATGATGTGATGAGAGGGCCATGTTTGTTCGCCCAGTGGTCATTGAACTCATCTTCAGAAAGCTTAGCATTGCGGTTCGCGAAAACAGTGATGCGTATCAATTCTTCGGTCGACATGATTGCTGTTGCTTGAGTTGTCGCGAATGTGGCTGGCATCCACGGGTGGCTGGGACGAGGATGCCGGGTCAATGACGCATCACTGCTTGCAGGAACCCGATCGGCATCCATCCAAACCTACCGCATGCACGACTTCAATGTGCTATTCCATGACTGATTACCCCGGACCACTGATGCGACGCTCATTATCGTACCTGTCGCTGCGGACCACGTCGCCAGTTTACTTTTTGCTCATTACGCCCCGCCTTGACCCCGTAGAATGATAAGGATGGTGCTCCACCCCTCCACCTCTCCACTCGACTCTGCGATCAATCACCAATCGCTGGCACGACCTTAGCTCCCAGACAACACATGAACAAAAGGGCCTTTTCACATACGGCTACCGGTAGCGCCCGCCATGGGGCGTTCGGTTACCCGTAGCCCCTCATTTAAAGGAACGGCGATGTTCGGTCGAGGCCGCGGAAGCTATTATCCGACTGCCGCATAACAGAGTAGCGACATTAACTACCAGAGTACTTCAGCTTCTGGCAAACCTTGATAAAGACTCATCATTTGCTGGAATACAATACGATCGTTAAGCGTGGAGCCAACATGACATCCATCGACCAGCCGCTGAACGGCAAAATACTCCTCATTACAGGAGGTGCATCTGGTATTTAGAATACTATCGATGTCGGAAAGGTGTATGTCTAACATGAACAGGAATCGGCCTCTGTGTGACAAAGCAAGCACACGATCTCGGCGCACGCATCCTTGTCGCGGACCTCAAAACAACACCCGGCTTCGATACCTTTGCTGCCAACAAGTCGAACATTCTCTACGTGCAATCTGACGTGACGCGATGGGCCGACTTTGACAAACTTTTCGACGCGTGCGAAAAGCAATGGAACGACGTTCCCGATGCATACGCCATCTGCGCGGGACTGTTCGACCCACCGTTTTCCAACTTCTGGCAAGACCCCGAAGACCAAGGGTATAAGCAAGTGGAGGTCAACGTGAACCATCCAATCAAATTAACGAGATTGGCTATCAGGAAGAGTCTGGGGAAGGGCAAAAGGGCTAGTGTTTGTATCATCGTAAGTCATACCACATATCAGGGTCGACTCGAAGGGCCGTCACGTAGTCGATGGCACGTCTAACACCAGAATAGGCGTCAGTAGCCGGCATATCAGGCAACCTAGCAGCTCCGCTCTACTGCGCAACGAAACACGCTGTCGTGGGCTTCGTAAAGTCTCTTGGGCCATCTGAGTCACTCACAGGCGTCAAGATTACCACTCTCTGTCCTGGCGCCGTGGCGACACCGTTGTTCGACGCCGCGAAACTCAAGCAGTACTCTGTGACTACAGAAAAGGCATTGACTCCAGACGCATGCGCGACTTCTTTGTTGGATCTGCTACAGAAGAAAGAGTACCCATGTGGCAGTGTACTGGAAATTACTCTTGGCGGGACGCGGCTTATCCCTGAGTGGGGTGTGGAGCCGCCGAAAGGCGTAGGTTCGGGACAAGATCTGGATGAGCAGTTCATGACGAACATGCTCCAGCCTATCAACGACAAGTTAAATGCCGAGAAGTCGAAGGCATGAGGACACATAGTGTAATGGATGCGTGTGTATTATGTGTGGTATTGAATCTTCACTACCAGATCACACTGAACAACGAAAAGTCAAAATAGGTCTGCAGCCCACATCAACATGAAATCATGCAAAGTAGGTGACCCAAAGCCAACGTAGGCTCCAGGCTGATTAGGGTTTTGCATTGTACTCTCAGTATACCTCCCGGCCATACCCCTGACACCCCCGGCTTCCAACAGCCTCAGCCCCCTAACAACCCCACATACCCTCCTTGCAGTCCCCCAAATCTCTCTTCTGAACCACCACCTTCTCTGCCTTTGTCTCTTCAAACAGTTTGCCGTGAGTGTGCCTCCATTTGTCGGGGATGACAACTTCGTCATCGACGTCGTCGGGGCTTGCCCGTGCGACAACAAAGTCGCTGGTGGTGATGAGGGGGAGAGTCCCCATGCCGCTTGGGATGTATGGGCGGGGGTTGGGGAACATGGGGAGGCTGAGCCCCAGGGTGATGAAGAGGGAGATGATGATGGTGTTGAAATGCATCTTGTTGGTTGTGATGGGGAGGTTTTGGGTTGGTGTGTTGTTTGGTTTTGCGTTGGTAGTAGTGGATGGTTTGTGATATCCTTGAATTGTTTTGGCTTTGGATGTAAGATGTTTGTGTGATGGTAAGAAAGCTAAGAGGGAAAGTAGAAGCAGGGTGTTATATACTAATGGGCAAATGCGTAAATTCCGTGGGATTTCAGTACCGTGGTCCAGATGTGGTTGGAGTTCCGACTCCACTATTCTCTCCAAACATGGCTCAGCGATTGCTCGAGCCATACAAAGCGTCTCTGATTTGTATCACGCAGGGACTGACCAAAGTCTTGAGATAGCCGGGCAAACTTTGGCTGGTTATCGGGGTGCGCGAACTCATGGTGCCGTGAAGTAGTCTAGCACTTTCCAATGTCCAATCGCTTTGCAGTATTTACATTTTCGCGCTAACCCTATATGTCCACCCAAAGTTGATGGGAAATGTTCCTTCAGTGCCTGCCTTCGACGCTTTCCTTTGATCAGCACAGCCCCTGCGCACTCCATCTTGCCCTGCGTTCTTAGCCTGGCTTTGTACTCCGCATGTTGCTTACGTAGCAGCTTTCAATCTGAACACGTGATATTATATTGCTAAGTTTGCTCACAATGGGTCTTACCCTATCCAAAGTCAAGCAGCGTAACCACTAGAGAGCATTGAGCTGTACGTTACTAGCTCTCGCGTCTGGATCACGAATACTGCATCTAGATGTTGAGACCATCTAAGGGTTGCGTTGGAGAACACGTAGGTCCTGGTCTTACATGACTGCGATGCTTCTCAGTCTTGTATGCGACAAGCACAGCATGTTCTATTACTATGTTGGTCGTAGAAATCACCGCTGTCTGGCACATCGAAGCTTGTCTTTACAGACCATGTGGCCGAAACGAATAATTGCGCGTTTTCCAACAGACCCAAGAGAGATGCGCATGTGTTGTGGCATCTGTTTGCGCTCACCTTCACTTCCACCTTCACCTCCACCTTCACCTCTGAACGGTCTACTTAAACGAGGCGCAAAGCGCCATACTTCCGCTAGCTTACTACTTGTAGACGCAGTCTCTTGTCCACAGTCATTAATCCTCCACAACACACAACAAATCCACGCGCAAACATGGCAACCGCTTCACGCCTTCAGGTCGTAGATGCCGTTCAAAGGCAATTACCTCAGATCTTCATGCCACACTCATTGGACTGACGATTATTACAGCTGTCTCACCTCGGGAAAATACTCCGACCTCACGATCAAGTGTCGAGAAGACATCTACAAGGTCCACAAGATGATTGTGTGCACACGCGCCGGCTTCTTTGCTGGAGCTATGAGATTTGGTGGCCAGGTATGGATCACTTATCAACGACATGAATGGATCTGACAGTCAGCAGGAAGCTCAGCATGATGTGGTCGATCTCTCGAAGGATGAGCCTCAAGTCATCGCCTCTCTCGTACGATATCTATACTCCGACAAGTACGACGGCGAATTCTCGGACGGTCCACCCGTCAAACCGCTCAGCGCTTCAGACTTCATTGTCACACGTACCGATGTTCGGAGCCGTGCCCATGGTCGCAACTACACATACGCCTTTCCCCATACTTGCGCCGCGAACTGTCCATCCGGCAAGTTTTTGTGTCCACACCACATCTGCGATGACGACTGCTTCTCGTCCTGCAGAGCCTTTATTTGCGACAAATGCTGCTCACGCCGAGGATCACCTTCTCAGCTTCTCAATCACTCAAAGATGTATGCGATTGCCGACAAGTACGACGTCATGGGCCTCAAACAGCTGGCAAGTAAGAACTTCGAGTTTGTTTGCACCTATCTCTGGAACGACGACGCTTTCCCCGTCGCCATTGATCACATCTTCTCTGCGACCGTTCCTGAGGATACCGGCATGAGAAGCATCGTCATCCAGACCATCTCCAAGAACATGTCTGTTACACACAAGGCGGAGATGAAGATGATGGTGGCAAAGTACAACGACCTGGCCATTGGTATCATACTGAGCAAGGCGGGCTAGCTCGACCGGAGACGAAGGCGAGGTCATGGAAAGCGATGTCATCGACAGAACTGGCACAGATTTGGGAACACTTGATGAAAGCCGGGATGCCGAGACAAAGAATTGGTGCTTTGTGCGCACGCTGCGAAGATGATGGATTGCCAACTCTTCGACGTCTTTATCATGACAGACTGCGTTTTTGAACAGAAGCTCAAGCAGGCGCTCAATGTTCAATACAACATAAAACCAAACCCCATCTCTTCCAACACCTGAACACCGTTACATATAGCATTACTGCGTGATAGCCCTTAATCCTTGTAATGTCAACCCAAACATAACCCCCCTCGCAACCCTAGGCTCCTGTAGACAATCAAACACTTTACCCAACGCCTCTCCACTAGCAGCCTGCCCCATAACACTCGTAAGCGCTTGCGGCATACCATTCTCGACAAGCAACTTCCTCGCTTTGACCCTCAACTTCTCTTTCTCTTCATCGCTCATCTCTTTTGGCCATCCTTTGAGTTCTTCTTCGGTTGGCAGACCGTTCTCCCGGATCTTTCTGATGTGATAGGCCAGGCCAGCGTCGGAAGCATTCCCGTCGAGAACGGTGGTCTGAAGAAGTGATGTGATGGACGATAGTTGTGGGTTTCCTGGGCGTAAGAGGAAGGATTTCGCGGCGTTGAGGAGGGTGCGACGGAGGGTCCAGGCGGAGGAGAGGGTGTAGAGTTCGTTGATGACGGCGAAGAAGAGCTCGATGAGGACGGTAGTTTCGGGCTCGGATAGTGGCGTGTGGGTGGTTGCTGCGCGTGGCCTTGACGAGGGTTTGGCCGGAGATGAGGTTAGCGATGTGGCCGAGGGTCGACGGGGTAGTGAGGGCACGGAGTCTGTTGATGGCCGCGAAGGTTTCTGAGGTGGGGTTGGTTCTGGTTGATTGCGCATAGTGCTATAGTCGTCGGAGATCTCGCTAGGCATTGGCGGCAGATTGATTAGTTGATCCCCTCCCATCATGGGGCTGAGATCTTCGATCTTCTCGCGCATGCTTGGTGCGCGACTGTTACTTCGGGAGCCATATCTGGAAGACCTCCCCGAACGCTTGCCGTCCCCGTCAGGGTTGTACGATGGGCGACGTTCCATGGGCGCCTCGCGTCCTGGCTGCTGGTCGATGACGGGTGAGTGAGGATCGCGCACAGAGTCCATTGATGTGCGTTTAGTCACTAGTGACAACGTGCTCGGCGACCGAATATGCGTGGGCAGTTCGGAGACCGTCGACTCGGCTCTACTTTGTCGTGTTTGGATTGGCGCCGTGTTGGACGATGTACGGCTTAAAGGACTTCCGGATGCGTTCGGAGTGGCGGCGTTGCTGATCGATTCGCGATTCTTCTTTCCTCCCAGTGGTGATGCTACGCTGCCTAGTACGCCTGTAACTCCACCGAAAAGAGCTTTGCCACCGCCAGCAACTTCTTTGGGTGCTTTTGAAAGTACGCCCATCATCCCTTTACCCACTGAGTCGAAGGTCTGGCCAGCCCATCCAATCCCTGGAAAGCCACCACCGGGCGTCTTTCCTGAACCCAATTCTTTGTCTAAGAAGCGCTTCATCCCTTCACTTTCAGCAAGTGGTTGGTACTTGACAGCATCGTTGAGGTAGCGCTCCAGCTCTCCACGCAGAGACGCCTTGGTGTGACCTTTCCACGGTGGCAGTGTAGCGTGCGCTTCGTTGAAGCCGGAAGTTCCGGTGATAGCTGCTATCCGACGTATGACTTCGTGCAATGTCTCGAACTCGGCATACTTGCGTGCTGTCATCCACCCGGTGTGATGGTTGGACTTTGGCTCGATCTGAATCAGATACTCTGCTGTGGGCTTGGCCTTGATGGTGCCCTTTTCTCCAGGCATGCTGTCATCAAAGATGGACATTGTGCTGTTGTGCAAGGTTAACGGTGGTGGTCTTTCCGCGGGTGCGTTGTCCATAAGCGCAGTAGGCGGTTGGGGCATTACAAGCTGATCGAAGCTCGTGAAAGCCTTCTTGACCTCCTGAGCTGGTGGGTCTTCAGAACTCCTTGGCGGTGAAGCTGGTGTTGTCTCTGAGAACGACCGGCCGGAGAGCCCTGAAATGGCTAAGTCTGAGTGCTCAACATCGCCGTGCGCTTCGCCCTCGGAAGACGAGGGAGTGACTATGCCCTGGGTGGTGCTCTCGGACTGGTCATCATTCAGGGTCGATGTAGACGCGCTTTGCTTTTGTTGCTCCTTCAGTCGCTTTGCGTCTTCCTCGGCGATCATCTGGCTCAGGAGCTGCGCTTCTCGCATCGCATCGTCCATAGCTTCTTGCGCCTTGCTCATGACACGCTTGTGCTCCCTCTTTTCAGCGGGGGTTGCCGTTCCTGCACCACCTAACTCGCTCTCCGCGTTCTCCTTGACACCTTGTAATTGTTCAGACGAGCCCTCGACGCCCGCGTCAATCGCATTGAGAAGCTCGGGCTCGCCCTCTTCCAGAAGATATACAATCCACCCGTTGATCCACTCTGGCTTGGAGCAGCTGACGACGATCATCTCGAGTATAAGCTTCGCGAGTATTTGATGCAGGAATAACCGTGCTGGCACGCAGTTGTCTAGGGTAGGTGCGGTCAGCGTACGCGTATGAATTGTATATAGGAGTTACTCACATGTTTTCGGTTCCAGATAGTTCTGTAGGATGTCCTCAGCAGCCACACTGAACTGCTTCATCTGGTAGTCTGGGTCGAGGATGTTCGCTAGGGTGCTATCCCGCTTCATCTTGAGATATATATCGACAGCTTCGGTTGGCACATCACCGGGCGAGGCTTGGATTGCAGCGGCAATCTCCTGCAGCAGTATAATCATGAAGGAGGATGAGCGTGTCACAAAGTCAAGGAAATTGTCGGCTGGTCGCTTTCGGGAGAGGTGTGCAGATATGGAAAGCACGAAGGCTGTCAGAGTCTGGCGGCACGAGTTCGGGAAAGTGTCTTCGGAAGGCAGTAGGGGTGAGTACCACCACCTGCGTTGTATTAGAACAGTATCTAGGCACTGCGCGGAGGACATACTTGACATAGTCACGAATGACTGCATCCGTCAACTCCGTCAACGCAGCGGCAGTCTCGGGCTTGAAGTCTGAGTAGTCGAGCGTCTTGCCGGAGTACAGCTGCACATTGAAGTCGTAGCCGTCGTCTCCGGACTTGCCCTTGTCTGGTGTCTTGTCGTTCCGCCAGTCGAGTACGCGCTGGGCGATGTCGACGGCCAACTCTCGTTTCCGCGCGTCGGCGCTCTTTCCCTGCGTCTCCTTGCTGTCGCCATGGTGCCCCTCCCACGTCGCGTGGAGGACGACGCCGCCTACAACGCCTATGAGGACCAGCCCGACGCGGCCGAGTATGAGATATGTGCCCGCGCCGAGGCCTGCGAGACAGGCGCCGAGCGTCTCATTGCTAGCCGTCGCCAAGAAGTGTAAGGTGCGATCAGTGAGGGCCTTGAGGTCGAATGGAGGCGCGCCTGCCTCTGCCTTTGGTGCCTCCGGCGTCACGGCGGTGCTATCGCCGAGCGAGTCATGCTGTTCGTTGAGTGCGGAGGGGGGCGGGCTCGGGGGTGGTGCTATGGGGTCGCTCATGGTGGCTGTATGTAGGCGAACATTGGGGTCTGCGATATTGGAGAAAGTCGTGGCCTGCAGTGAAGCATGGTCCGGTGCGACAGACTGGCTATGTGGCGTCCCCGGCCGCTGACACTGGCGTACTGGCCGTTTCACAGCTGCCGCTTGTTGATCGCAGGGCGGCCGCTGAATAGTATCGCCGACCCCGCCGCGCGTTGCCTCGCTATTTTCAACTGCCCCGTCATTCTGATCTTCACACTTCCACGCGTCACTTCTCCCGCATCCGTATCAGCCATGTCCAGCGACGCAGCCAACGACCCCGAGATCCTCGCTCATGTCCAGCAGTTTTGGGAGGGCCGCAAGCCTAGCAGTCCCATCTACCAGTTCCTGCTTGACGATATCAAGCTGACCTATGCCTCCAAGGGCGTGGTGCGCGCGCAGCTTCCGCTTACCAAGAACCATGTGAACACACACGGAAGCATCCATGGCTCCGTCTCCGCGACACTGATAGACTGGGTTGGTGGCATCGCTATCGCAGCTTGGGATAACCGGAGCAAGGCAGGAGTGTCGACAGACATTCACATCTCGTACTTGAGCGGGGCTAAGGATGGTGACACCATTGAAATTGAGGGCAGGGCAGGAAAGGTTGGCGGAACCCTCGCTTTCACCACAGCGACCATATGGAAGCTCGTCGATGGCAAGCCAGGTCCTATTGTAGCCACCGGGTCACACACGAAGTTTATAAAGATATGAACCTTCATATGACACGCCATCTTCTTTGAGATCTCGTCCTGCGCTCCATGGTCGATCGAGCTCACTCGGATCGCGAAGATTGACTGACCCTCCCGCTACCATTCCGCGCCTAGCCTTACAGCGACGACAGCATGGGTATGTGGGAGGGTCTTACATACTGTAGATGATCTAATATCATGAGTATCGAATCTGTTCGACAGGAGGCTTTTCTGCTATCCCAATATTGCGTCCCAACCTTCGGACATTTTCTGTTACTTTGCCGAGGAATCCTCCGGAATCTGGATGTGTTGGACTAAAAGTAATGCCCCAAGCTCCTCGAACAGGTTCAAGATTTCAACACCACATATCGCTATCGCGAGAGGGGGACACGCGTCGCGTATATTGGCGCCACACCCACGAGCCACACTCGGCCCGTGCCAGCCAATCACAGCACGCTTGAGCCACACATCCAACGCGCCAAGCCTCGCGGTTTCCCAGGCAAGCCACAGACTATGCCACAAACACAAGCAGGAGGGGCTGCAATCTGCGAAGTGCAGCGAGTCAAGGATCATGTGTCGTGAAATCAAGTTCATGGCGTATGTCATATGGTGAGCGGGTGGTAGCTCTGACGTCGATACTACCATAACCAAAGGTATAGACATGGGAGAATGGACTCCCAATATCTATAAGGACTCCATAG